TGGCCAAGTTCTATTGACCTTTGACCTCGGTTGGAGGTCAAACCAGTGAAAATCTGGGGTCGGAGGTATGGAGACTTTTGTTCAGCACATCGAAGTCTACAAAATATCAAAAATTCAGAAAATTCGACGGCAGGCAGGTTTCCCATAAGAAGGGTGCCTCCTCCTTTGTTGGAATTGGAATGAAATTGAGTGAAATATTCAAGTTTTTATATCGACTCGTACTGTGAAAAGTAATGCGTACTTCGAAAAACGGCTATAAATCGACTATTTTTTGGAATAATTTGCTCAGATTTCATACAATGGTGTATTTTCTACTAAAGAATCATATTTTATAATCAAACTTGAAATTGGATTTGTAAAACTCAAAATTTTTGAACGTATGTATGAACTATTGGGGCATTTTGAGAATTTCGAAAAAATTTGCGCAGGGGCTTGTTAGGACATGTATCTTTTCAAAATTTAGCTATTTTAATTTATTTTGCCTTGGGGTAATTTGAGAAATTCAAAAACAAATTTTGCCAGGGTTTTGTTTGTAAAAACGCCTTTTTTCACTTTTATTAACAAAATTAAAATTGCCTGGGGCAATTCGAGAATTTTTGAAAATTTTTTCGAAGGGAATTGTTTAAAAATCTACTTTTTCATTTTTTGAAAACGGAAAATCTATCGGCTTTTTGTTAGTTGTAACAATATTTCGACATATTACGTACCGTACTATAACTTAAGAAGTGGGAGGTTTTCAGAACTCACGAATCCACCACATTGTGGGCGGAGATGATGATGTCGCCGTGGGCTCGGTAGGGGAATATGGGCGCGAGTCATCGAGTACCGGACGTCAGGGTCCTTGGGGGACGGATGCGACACGCTTCTGATCACGGGACACCTTCACTGGCCACAGGGGGGTAGCCGGATGGGAGCTACGACGCACGGGGAGGAGGATGCATTGTCTCTCGCTTGGCAATTAGAAATACTGTCTTGTTTTTTACTCCGATTTCCACTTATGCACCGTTTCTAAACTAAACTGCACCTAGCACGACTCAATGTACGATTTTTTATGAACAATGACCCGAATAAACTGTTCAATAGCGGTATACTTCGTAATTTTCACTTGACAAGAGTTTCAGAATCTTTACTACTCACATTAGCAATTATTACTCTTACAAAATGAATTTTAGGAACTTAATTTAGGTAGGAGAATTTATTTTAAAGATGGCAGCCACGCAGATGGCGTGGTGCAGGGAAATATGGAGAGAAGAGTTGTGGAGGTGTTCACACTCGGAATCCTCGGGTCGGTCTGTCTGAGCTGGAGAGAGGTTCTTCCTTTTTACAGTCGAACTCGGCCACGGTGGCTTCCGTGTGCCGAGTAGTAGGATCGTCGGGTGGGGGATATCCAATCCCTACACGTGGGGCGAGTTTCGGAAGATGCAGATCTACGGCTTTTTCCTTGAAGATCGCCATCAGATTCCCGTGACACAATTCTTTCTCGGCGAGTAAATTCGGGTTGAAGTACCGAAGCAGCGGTCACATTTGCGATTCCAACAAGCGCCGAAGTCGCAGTTGGTGGAAAAGCGGAAGAACTTCGCGACACGAGAGCAGATTGATTTCCATGACGAGATGGACGCTCGTTAACTACTTGGACCGTATTCAGGGCCGATCTTGGTCTACCCTCTTGGCGTCCGCGTCCAACCCTTTTTGGGCTCTGGTTAAAATCTTCGAGCTCAAAATCCTTATCCATTTTGAAGCCGAGCCGAGTAAATGAAATGAAATGATGCTGGTGAAAGTTTGGTGTGAAGAAAGAAAGTCTTGAAATTATAATTTATTCACAATACGCTAATCTTTTAGTTGTGATAATCTGAATTCTCGAAGAAAGTGGCTTTCACGAGGTGAAAAAATTGAGAACAAGTGGATGAGAAATGCAGTTTGCGAATGAACGATTTCATGCATTGGGCATATTTACCCCTTTGAAATCAATAAATAAATGATATCATTTGTCCGATTTATGCATATAAGTGCATCACTTGGTGTACTAATATCCAGTTTGACCAATCGTATGCAAAAATATTGCAAGTGTGCATAGTGACTCAAGGTACGTGGAGAATATTTAATTAGGCAGGACAAATAACGAGGCGACCCGTGCGGTTTTAGTCGCGTGTAAAAAATAGTGTAGGGGAAGTGTGACCGATACATATATACATTAAAAAATATCCTTAATTACGATGCAAGCGCAAGGAACAAATTGACCCGATCCTCCTTTTGTTGTGCAGTTCAACTCCACGCTTCGTGTATGCAAATAAACTCAAAAACTGTTTAGAGTTTATTTCATATTTTATAAACTGTAAGAAAAATTGGAAAAAAAGAATTGGCAAAACGATTGCATTCTTTTAAAATGACGCATATATGACAATTATCTATTTTTGACCTAAATACTCCTCGTTTTCAACTTTCCATGAACCCAAAAGAGCTTCGGGGCGAGCACGTCGACGTCAAAACAAGGCGTCCAGGCACGACGTCCAAGGATATTTAATTTGGCTTACTCGGCTAACATAGTTCTTGGACGTCGCGCCTGGGCGCCTTTTTTTCACGACGACGTGCTAGCCCCGAAGCTCTTTTGGGTTCATGGAAAGTTGAAAACGAGGAGTACCTTTGACATTTACATATGTATGTGTAATAACGGTTTTTGGATCTCATTTATTTGTAATGCTTGCAAATTATGAAAATATGTGTGTACATGTTTTCATAATTTGCTCAAGCTATATAGCTAGAGTCAGTTATTTAGGAGATAGTTGTATCTGTATGCAAGATACATTTTTCAAAAAGCGGAGATAGACGTTGCCCTTAAATATTTCGACCAATTTCAATCATATGTAGTACAAACTGCCTCAAGTTGCATTGACTTAGACCACATAATTTTATAATTCCAGTCAAATCGGAGGGTTACACTTCACATTATCGCATTGTTAGTGAGATTTTATTATAAAGAGTTTACACTTTTCATTTTAATCTGAGAAGACTGAGGACAAGAAAAGAAATAGTTTTATGAAGGAAATTACGTTGGAGCGAGGTGAATGTTTATGTAAACCAACATATTTATCTCCATGACAGAATATGGTTTATGTTGCACGGAGGGTGAAAAGTTGTGAGACAGGCTGGCAGCATGGAACATCAGATCGAGCCAACAGAAGACTTATTTCCGGTTTGGATTGGACTAACACTAACTTTCTCCGCATGTTAAAGTACTCGTTTTCCCTGTTGTTTTCTGCAGCACGTGTCATGTCCTCCCACACTTACAATTCACACTTTTGCTACACCAATACAATCCAAGTTCTTGAAAACTGGACATACATTATACATGCGTAGATAATTTATCATGTTTTTATACTACATTCTTCACTCAATAATTTCATGAACAATTATTGTTCATGAAATTGTTCTCCTCAGGACAGACATACTGTATTTCTCATCACAACCCATTTAGCAAACTTATGAAACTAATAAAATTTGTGCTGAGAGGGGCTTCGCAAAATAAGATTACGCAAATTTAGAAACTTTATACAAACAACTCGGTTATCCTATTGTAATTTGTTTTTTGTTCGCAATTTCAAAACCGATCAATATAGAGGATGAGTGCAAATAAATTTTGCTAAATAAATACCTTCCCAATTGTTAGGTAAGTATTTATAGAAAAGAGATCTTTTCCCAATTTCAATTTCCTCGAAAGGAATTTATATCGCCATATCCGTCATTTATATCAACCATTCGAAGCTGTTGATCTCGACCGAAATCTAGATCCACTTGAGATGACATGCTGTCAAGAGATGTTATCGTGGGTCGAGTTTCGGAAGACGCAGACCTCCGACTTTCTCTCTTGTGATCACCATCAGATTTCCGTGACACAACTCTTTCTCGGCGAGTGAATTCTGGTTTAAGTAGCGATGCCACAGTCACATTTGCGACGCATAAAAAGTTTCGAATTATGCTGGTGAAAGTTTGGTGAAGAAAGAAAGCCTTAAAATTGTGATGTATTTCCAACCCGATAATCTTTATCTTGTGACAAATTTAATGTGTGGAGAAAGTGGCTTTCACCGGTGACAAAATTATAAGACCAAGTGACTGAGAAGTGCAGTTACGACTGATCGATTACATATTTACTTTCTTGAAATCAATGATATCATGTCCGACTGATGAGGTGAATCACTTGGTTTTAATATCCATTTTAACCAATCGTATATGCAAAAAGGGCGCAAGTATCTATGTATTATAATGACGCAAATTGTCTATTTAGGCTCGACGAATTACGAGGCGACAACAGTTTTAGTCGCGTGTAAGAAATGATGTAGGGCTAGGAGGAGTGTGACCGAGATATGTACATTTAAGTAACAATACCCTTAATAAACGTATTTAAATAACTATCCAATTCTTACACACATATTTGTATGTAAGAATTGCTGGTACATTTGTATAAGGAATATGTAACAAGTTCTTTATCCATTAGTTATGTAAAAAGGTGGCTCAAGCTTGCATGCATTTACGAAGCTTCGTAAGCATGGAAGTGTCGTAAATTTACGAAGTTTACTAAGGTGACGTGAGAACAATCAACTTCACTATTCATCGCTTAGATACGTATGTACATACATATATATATTTTTATACCATTACTATTACTTATCGTACAATGCATTTATGTATCTTGTAAGTTTCTAAACTAAATGAAACGTTTTCGTTTTTTTGTCTACTCCACAGTATGCACTCGAGGACAAATCTTATCATCTATCTAACACTATTATTACATATGTATGAAACGAGATTACGTAACATTGCTATGTATGTACATACTCGTCAGTTCAATAAAGAGACGTCTGCTCTATGTACATTTTGCATGTACTTATGCATCAAGCATACTTTTTGCACTGTGTGCGTAATGTACATACGGTGACTACATGCTCCGTGATTTGCAATGCAAACGTTTCACGTAAATTGCAAACTGAGACAATATGAAGATTAGATTGGAGTACGTGGATTATTACAACGGCAAAGGTTTATATAAAGGATCTATTCGTTCTAATGCTGGACTTGGAGAGGAAAGATTTCTGCTAAATATTTTGTTACCAGAACAAATTTGGGACTATTTATTGTTTCCAGAAACATTAATATTTTGGTATGATCAAATTATTTAAACCACTCGCTCATGGAATTAAATGACAATTTTTCTACAAATATGTGTCATTCACAAAATTTTGGCCAATTCAGTTTGATAATATAAGTATTGGGTGTGTAGTGTAACTTGTTCTATTTTTTGCATTCTTTAGTTAATTCCGCTACTGGGGCATCTTATCAGGCCGTTTAAATCTTTCAACTCGAGTCGTAAGTGGAATTTCAAATATTTGAAATATTTGATTTATATACAGCTCTGTGATTTGAAGTTAATTTAATAACGCTAGCTTAGTTTTCCAATACATGGATAATTGAGATATTTTGTGTTTTATCATGCTTATTTTCCAAGTTATGAATTAGGTATCAAGGGTTGTTTTAGATTTGAATTTAATAAATACATACATACTGATAATGATGACAGATAAGGTGACGAGGTCCAATTCAAGATGTCGGACTCGGACGAGTCAGACGATTCGTATAACATCCATCGTTACGGCGATGATGACAACGACGAAGACTTTAACATGGCTTATTATCAGGATGATCATTATCATCAGGTACTTATAATGGAGGTCTAGCAGTGTAAGCTGCTCCCCGATTTTGACCAAATCACTGTCAAACGATCACAAATTTATTTAATACTGGCGTATAGCCCGGCCAAGGCCGGGTTCTAGAGTTCCAGTGGGGGGTGTGCCCAAAGCGAAAAATCCGTCATACTATACTTTAAATAATTCCCAGTGGAGACTTTGTCATACCACATACCTACATCAGAGTGAGGGTTTGCCCCAGGCATACTGCATTTTAATTAACCTGGTCACAGTACAATTTGATTTCCCCCTGTGGGAGTAGTTGAATAGCTAATTACTTAAATTCCCGTCGTGTGGGAGTAGTTGAATAGCTAACTATTTATATTCCCGCGCTTCACGCTCCCGTTCAGTTCTATAAACCCCAACTTCTATAATTAACGCCAAACTATTGACGGATTCGGATTCAGCGTCAAAAATACATTCGAATTGATATGCGACATCACGAATAAGCCATATTTACCCGCCACGGTGACGGGAAGGTCACGGGGGCCTCGGAGCTCAAAACCATTGACGGTGGATTCAGCGTCAAAAATACATTCGAATTGATATGCCACTCGCTGTGGGTGCAGTTTCTCAAACTAAAATAATTAATTAATAGTGTTTATCACGATCATTTATCATGATAACCACTATTGATGATGATGAGTGATGTATTGCTGCTCACTCACTCAATTTACTTCAACACTGTTTCTCATGCAGTATGAAAATTCATGCATGCAGTGGTTGCTCCGCTTCCTTCTTTGTCTACTCTACGGGGCAACTTGCATTCGATCACTCACTCAGCGACTTAACACTAACGCTTTATTAGAGTAGATGACACTTGCAAACGCCATACCATCTGCCAATGCTAAGAGTTTGATGGAGATACATATTTACATCCAAAGAAAAAAATAGAAAAATTGTAAAATTTGCTAATTTTAAGGTGAATTTTCTCCTCTTTGCGTGCAAATATCTCGGCCAAACGTGCCCATTTGGAGATCGTGTCTTTTGCAAACTTCGAATGAATTAAATTTGTAATCTACTGACAATAGTTTGCTAAAAATCGGAAAGCATACGCTGAGAGACATCCATTTTTAGTCCGAAATAAAATAAAAAATAAATGGCTTAAATGAATTGGAGTTTTTTTAACTTAAATTATTTATGTATAGCGGATACATCCACGTCAAATCGTTGTGAGGAGCAGTGGTAACTCGGGGGTGCAGATAAATCGACTGGTACATAATTTAATTAGAAGTTAATGTATTTTGCCTGCTTTTTCCAAAATTCGGAATGATGCGAATGAATAAATTCACGCGATATTTGCAAGCTCCTTCTGTTTACACATTTTACACCAGATAATAGATTTGAAACCTGATTTTTCTTATTGCTTTATTCTGTAATCTTTGCAAACCTGCCAAATATTTATCAAATTTTGTCGAATTTTACTGGGTTGGAAACATCCGGGTTGATTTTACCTAAGCTTCTAGTTAATTTTCTTTTTATGAATTTCCTTTTTAGCGGAATCAAGGCACCACTATTGCTGCAAATTCGGGCCCAAATGACCTCCCTAAAATCAACTTGGACATCAACACACTACTCGCGCACGTGATATTCACTCCATCAACTCTTCCACGATCGGAATCCAATGCAAAGTTTTCTCCATTTTTGGATTTGATTACTATCACCGCGTCGAAGCTGTCACCCGAATTTGCTAAACTGATTCCCATGTCTGTAGCCAGCTTTGATGCGTGGAATTCATTCCTGTCGTCACCTTCTCAGCAACGAAATAAAATTCCTGAGAAAATTGAGTCGTCTCACAGTAATAATGATGCAGGCTCCCCGTAAGATATTTGTTTTATTTAATTTCCTTAACAATTTAAATTTAGGCTAAATTTTCCAAATTTAAAGCTTTTTGGCTATGTGTGTATGTATGTGATTAAATGCGCAGAGGTTATAAATTATTTGAGGGCGGATATGCATTTGCGAAAAATCGTTTGGATATGCATTTAATATCTAAATATGCACTAATAAAACGTTAAAATATTAACGAAATACGTACTAAAAAAATATAAAAATAGTAATTTTTGCAGGTTTTATTTTTTAGTTTACTTAATCGTGTGGGTTTTAGTAGTCAAATTTCTTCAACAACAAAAATTCGTTTCACATTATTAAAATAAAATATTCTCGAAAGATGTATTTTTCGAAAAATATTTAAACAGAAATACATATTTTTCAAATAATGGCTGACATAAATATAGGTACTTTTATAAATACATGCAGTAAATTTTTACTAATTATTATGTCTTTAATTTCTATAATTTCCAGTCAGACGAAAACTAGAATTGCGACACAAATTGCCTGCATGAAACCCGGAACTTTACTCCCATTCTACCTAGAAAAGCACAACGTGGCCATCCTCCTACGAAAAGATGCACATGAGGACACCATTTCCATGTCTTTCTTCCAAGTCAAACCCGACCCTACTTTGGTCACTGAAAATCAAAATCTGAGAACGACCTATCCCACTCACGCGGTTCGAATTCCATACTCCGACCTCCTCAAATCCGACCACTTTGCCATCAAGATTTCCAACTTGGCTCAAATTTACGACACAATTCCATCCCACCAAATCGTTGAGTGGTTAACAATCACCTTGCTCGGAGAAAGTGATCCCGTCCAAAGTCAAGACGACAACTTTCTCCCGATAAATAAAGCTGTTCGGGATGAAGCATTTAGCAAGGAAACGGCCCGATCTGGCCATTGGACCGTACTAAAGGTGGCCATACATTTAAATATGGTACAAGAACTTGGATTAGAAGAAGGAACATTTATCTACAAGAATTTCATGATTCGCATGACGCTGAAAATAATGCAAGAGTTTAAAAACATGGATACTTTTGATGTCAATATTTGGGACGAATTAAGAAAGAAACTGTGCTTCAAGGGGGTCAAATTGCAGAAAATGCGGTGTCCAGAGGGGCAAGAATTTAGCAAAATACACAAAGAAATTTTAACAGATGTCGGTCACACTCTTGACTGGGTGAATAATTTCATGGAAATTAACATCCAACGGGGGACTAAATATAAAAGGGAGAAAGTAACTGATGAGAAGACACCATTCCTTGAGGGATTGATGGGATACTTAAAATCAAGGAAAAATCAGATTTCTATCGCCAAAATAATGGATTCTAGTACGAGACAAGATCGTCAGAGTGGGCATGGAGAAGGCACGCGTAGCTACTTTTCTACCAGCGAAATGACATCGGAAGATGTACATGAATTCGAAAATCGCGTTCAAACCAACGAACCAAAATTTGACGGATTAGAAGAACTTCGCGACAAATTAATCAAGTATTCAAACCTATTCCCACCCGCTTTCTCCTCAGATGCGGTGGCGTCCTCCCGAATGGTTTTAACATTACTTAAGGGCCTTAAGATTTGCGACGAGGCGGCAACCAAAGAATTTCCACTCCTCTCACAACACAGTCCTCTCCAGGGAGATATATTCCCAATCTTGGAGAAATTACTCGTCACGACGAAACAAGATGAAATACTGGCAGAAGAAATTCGAGCATATTTTCAAGCAAGAAAAATCCCTGTGACATATTTAACCACTCTGATAAATCAAGATTATCCATCCCACGAATCACCCACGGTTCGACTGGCCCGTCAAAGTGGACAAGTCCAAGATACAATTAAAAAATCGGTAGAAACTATTGGTACCAATGTAACTCAAAAATACGAGGAAATTGCTGCAGCACGAAAAAAGAAAGAGGAACTTGAAATTAAACATAGGTATGCGGCGTGCACATGTGATTTTACAGATATTCCCTACAAACGGCGGCGATACAACCCTCATCCGGACTACTCTTGTGAGAAGAATATTCTCTACAAGGAAATATCTGCGCTAAAAGTTTCAACTTATGTTTACCCAATGCCTGTGGACAGCTCAGATAATCAGAATGCATTAATGTACGAAAAATGCATCCCACCATCGGTCGCGGCCTTGCGGGACGTAATGCTATTAACAGCCATTTATTTATTCCCGTCCGTAACGAAGGAACGATTAACACGGTCCACGCCGGGAAATTATTCTTCGATCAAGAATATCTCAAAACTATTTGAGCTAAAGAAACAACACACATATCAAGATAATTTGTCCATCAAAGACACTCACAGTGACTACCCGTTCTTTGTGAAGAATGAAAGTGTCCAATTTGTCTGGAATTCGTCCTATAAATATAACAAAATTCCGGAAATAATTTTCCACAATAAATTGCAACCTTCATCGTTGTACAAAGGATTGGAACCATTTCTCGCCAACTGGACCCCAAATCATAATAAGGTTATGGCGTTAAGCGATTTCGACGATTTAAATCAATCCGAACGTATCGAATTTGGACAGTTTCGTACCGGTCATCGGCTCCAGTATAGAAATATGTATCGTGCCTTATCCAGCGGAACGTTATGTCTGAATCGGGATGTTTTGACCCTCGTTGTCCAATCATTATGGCAGCTAGGACCCTGGGATGTTAACTTTGGGCGGGAATCGCATTTTGAACTGAAATCTAATAGTCTATTCGTCGCTCAATTTATAAATTTATTGGAAGAAATTCATCAAAATACTAAGGACAATTGGACCGCGGCATTCACCTTGATGATCATTCAAGTTATTGCAAAGCAAATTCTGGAATATAACGAAAATTCCGAACTTCAACAGAGGAGTAACAACTTGCTACAAATTTGCAGAAATACAGCGCATCGGTGGATACAAGAAATTAATAAGTTTGTCGAGACATGCCCAAAGGAACAAGCCGGCGTGCGGGAACAATTATTAAATTGTGCGATATGTGGGGCTCTCACTTTCACTGGGAGTAATATGGCCCTCCAAATGTCAAATTCTCAAGATGCAATGGATTGGTTATGCTTCAGAGAAATAATTTTCAACGAGAATAAGTCAACAGGAAGTAAAGACAAGAATATCCAGCAGATTCTCCTATCGTTATTGAACCACGAGAATTATTCAATCAATAAAAAATTGCAGGAAATTATCAAGACAGATATCTCCGTATTGAACAAATTCGCCAAAAAACATCCCGGCCTTGAGTCACTTTCTGCTTCAAAATGGGAAGAAAATAAAAGTATTTATTCTCTTTCTAAGAACGAGTTCTATTTATCTCTTGACTCGATGACGGGAGAATTTTTAATAAATGGAAAACCAAGCAGCCGGCTCCCTGAAGAAATTTTTTTAGACAAAAACTTTCAAAAAGTATTCGGTCAAACAAACTTTCAAGTTTCGTGCAAACCTACTCCAACCCAATTTGTCTATTCAACTAAGGAAACTGCAAATGGATCTACCTTCCAATTTCACCAACCGAAAAATCGACACTACTTGAGTTACAATGAAGCACCTCAACGGCTAATCATTACGGAAAAAAGGAACACCTCCGCGTACGAACTCATCCCTATAGATAAGATCGACCTTCCTGAAGCACTACTAGAAAAGTACAGTCACTGGTGGAATATAGATCGAAATATTGTTGAATTTAGATCAGAGTCGTTCGCCAATTTTCATTTCCTCAAACCTAAATATATCCTCCATTTAAACTCCAAAGTGCTTCTGGACGTTGCAACGCAATCCTGCCTTATCCATAATGAACAAACCGCTCACATGCTGACAGTATTATCGAGTTTCGAGAACCCCAAGTACGTCCTAATTTGGCTAGAAGGAGGTGAAATTATTGCCAAACTGCCGCGACACAATATCAGCCTTAGGTATCATTCTGACCTCGGAATTATTTGTCAAGAATATAATATGGTGGTGATGGCGGACTACGATTTGCAAACTTTAAGCGGGTTACGGCAGGCCTTAGTATTGGAGGAACTTAATGCGCAACAAAGGGGAATGAAGCTTCGTAAAGTTCTCGTTCCGCATGGAAATATTGAGGTTCAATATGGCGGCAGAATTACAATTAACACCACAGAGTTAAGAAACCCGCCATCTTTGGTGATTGATGTTGACGAAGTTCTCAAAGTCCTGACAGCGGGACCTTACACCTATGCCTGGCTCTATTTGGCGGCGCTTCATGCAGTAACGACGTCTCCAATGAGGGATTCGTTCACAGGTCAGACCGGATTAGAAAGAGCGGTACAGATTTTAAGCTCCGGTAGATGTCGATCTTCCTCGCCATATGATGATGAGTCACTTGTCACTATTAAATTCTTATGTGGATTATATCCAACACGAAAAATTCAAGAAGACAAGATATCCCGCCGTTTGAGAAACAAACCCATAGAACAAATAAAAGTCAAATTCGAGAGGGTCGCATTTCCAAAACATCTTTCTGCGTATGCTGCCTACGAAGGTTACTACTTTATATTGAAGGCACTGCTACAGGAGTCAAACTCATTGAATTTTTTATTCCCGACAACAAAGCGACTTGAGAGTTCTGTGGAATTAAATAATGTAGATGAAAATTTAATGGCGAGGTCGTACTGGCGAAGAATCCGGTTTTATAATCCAGCTGCTGCAATTCCGTTCGAGTTTATGCCAGCCTCATATAATGCTCCAAATCCCGCGGTAAATTTTGAGAGTGCACATTTACTCCAGATGGACAAGAGGGTTCGTAAGCAAAACTACTTACATATAAGATACGATGTCTTACTAAGATATGAATTATGGCATCCAATTTGTATGATCTTGAAAATCGAGTTTTGATTATTCCGATTATGCAAAAAACTTAACAAACCATTAGACAGGTTTTTAAACCCCACTAGCTCGAATTTTCAAAAACGTTGAGCTTATGGAAAAGGAAAATTTTAAAATCAAATCAAGGCTTGATGATAAAGTATTTCTGAATAATTACTTCTTATTTCATCAATAAAAAATACTAAACATTAACTCCAAACAGTCTGAGTTATTAAAAATCAAAAACCAGTTTCACGTGTGTAACATTGGATTTTGTTCACGTATTTAAAACCTAAATTAAGTTAGATCGAAAACCCCGTTTCAAACCTAAACGTTAATTAGATGTCATGTTTATTCTATTTACAGGCTTATCACCTTCGAGTTTTAGCTGCCCTTTGTTCCTCGAGGAAATTCACTTCTGCCAATCCGGACAGAGTCAGGACTCTAATTTACAGATCGGAACACTTAGAAGGGCTTAAGCCCACGGCAGTAGATGACTTATTGGATCTCTACAAAGATCTGAGACCTCACTGGATACAACTATATCAGAAAGCCATAACTCAACCATGGGAAGAGTGGACACTTACTGTTTGCGAAATTGGGTATAAATCCGTACTAGATTTGGCTGACTTGTTAATACTGCAAACAATTGCCGCGAACCGACTCAAATTTCCAAAGGCGCCAATAATTCCGGAATACAAAAATATCAATGAAATTGAGTTCAACTCTGCCCGAGTTGCTACTATTCTTAAAGATAGAAAGACTGGATTTAGTGAGTATAACAATTCAAGCATATGGTCCACCATAGGAAACGTTAACTCAAAAGATGTTCCGGATAAAAAACAATTTGAAGACTCTGCAGCATGGGAAGCCGCCCAGGCAGCGTATATTAGTGAGGCGATCAAGAAAATAGAGCTGGCTTGGATTGCTTGGAGTGGTGCAAAAAGAAGCAACAAATCCACTTCTGACGCAACAGAGATCTTTAGTGAAATATCGCGTACCATTTCAAGTTCAATATTTTTTCAAAGACGCAACTATTATTCCAGCATCATTGAATCTTCGCACGACAAAATCGCTATGCTTTTGTGCGAAGTATTTCAAACCTGGGAGGATAACTATGCATTAAAATTATTTGTGGAGGCAGTCGAAACCCGACTATCCACTTGTGGGGGATACAAAGATTTTGACCAAATTGGGACCTTGGTTATGCCAGAATCTTCAGAATTCGTCAGGTTGATGGGTAAATTAGTTCTTTGTAGGGGCGAAATTCGCGCGAGGTCCTGGTCTAAATTAAGAATAATACGTATGCCTAAAATCACAAAGAATACGAGTCATACGACGGAATCGGTGTATCAGAGCTTGAATTCGCTCATTACAGCAATGTGGAAAAATTTGGAAGATTGTTACAAAGAAGACGACGTTTTAGTTTTTCCCGCCGATCTGTCCGAACGACTAGTGCCGTCTCGATTATTTCCGAAATTATTGGAACAATTACCGCCCGATTTAAACCAATTTTTGCTTCATTTAGCCAGAAAGACAAGACACTTTCAGCGATTATTTCGCATCCTCAGTTACAAACGGGACGAAAAGAAGGCATATTTGTACAAGAATGAAAAGCTGAACAAGCCTGAAACAAATTGGACAAGTGAAGAATTTCCGGAATGGCTCCTATTAGAATTGGAGCTCAATCTCACAATTCGAGGAATTCAAGCGCGAATTGCGAAACACATGATGGATTTGAATAGTGGGGGGAGCAAAGTCACCCAGTTAAACATGGGTGAAGGAAAGACTAGCGTGATTTTGCCCATGGTAATTTCCCGCCTGGCCAAAGCGAAAGAAAAATGTGTCCGTGTTACCGTTTTGAAGTCACTTTTTCAAACAAATTATCAACAATTGAAACACGCATTAGGTAGTTTGCTTGGCCAAATGGTATATTCAATCCCTTGTGATAGAAATTCAACTCTGGAAACGGATCAGGTCGAGGCGGTTCTTGCCCTGCAGAAAGACATCCTTAAAAGGAAAGGGGTCATTGTGACGGTGCCAGAGTATCGTCTTTCCTGGGAACTTAGAGCGTATGAAAGCTATGGGAATCCCATTTTTTGCCGCAGCCTAATTAACCTTTTCTCATGGAACGAAGTAAATTGTCAGGATATTTTGGACGAATCGGACGAGATATTAAGTGCCCGGTATCAAAAGGTTTATGCAATGGGGGCATCTTCAAAAATCAGTGAGATCAGGTGGAAAACTTGTCAAAAAATTTTGAAATGGATTCCCAACATTTTGAGGAAGCTCTCACGTGACGCAAGGTTTACTGATTGTGTCGAAATAGATGATAATATAGGGACCAAGAATAAATATCCGAGGTGCAGACTTTTAAATTATACGACACAATCTGACCTTTGCTATGACACATTTAGTGCGATAATTACGACAGATTTTATTGAATTGGAACTACCACATTTGCCCGAAGATTTACGTGCAGATATAAAGAAATACTTGACCGATTCTTCCATCACTAGCGATTTATACTACCGTTTGGAAAGTGAGGAGCTCCTTAAACCAAAATTTGCCTTGATTCAAGCAGTTGCCGAGCTGCTCAGCCACCCAGGAATTTTCAAGTGTGCCTTAAACAAACGATGGCGTGTCAATTATGGCGTAAGTGGAAAAAACTCCAGGATGGCGGTTCCCTTCAAAGCGAAAGACGTGGCTTTCGACAAGACAGAATTTGGTCATCCCGCCATGGGCATTGTTCTGACGCAATTAAGCTATTACTATTCTGGTCTCACGGAGCAACAGGTGGACGTGTGTTTGGACGTTTTGGAAAAGCGGGAAAATCCTGTAGTTGAATTTAACGAATGGCTCGCATTTTGTGACAATTTGGATATAAGTTATCAATCTCTGAATAGAGCATTCCCCCCGCAAAGAGTCAGGCTATATCCCGCCCTTATGTACAATACGGTCGTTATCGATTTTTACCTCACCCATTGCGTCTTTCCCAAGGAGTTGAAATGTTACCCCGGGAAAATCACAACGACCGCGTGGGATCTTTGTTATTCTGAGGGTAACAATGTGGCGGGATTTAGTGGGACAAATGATGCACAGCTTTTACTACCGATGCACATCAAACAGGACGATTTGGTTGAGTTACAAGATACGAATGAGCAGGTTCGTAAAGCTGTAGAGCAAAGTGAGGATTACTGCGCTTTAGAATCTTGGATTCCAGAGGGTACACACATTTTGGAGATGATTGCGAAGAAGCGAATAAAAATCTTAATTGATGCGGGCGCATTGATGATTGACATGGACAATTCAAAGGTAAGTATTTACCGTGACAATCTGTTATCGACATTTGATATGCAGAAAATATGACAAAATTTTTCCGCATGGAAAATAATTTCCACGAGCATCACTTTCCCCATTCTCACTGAAGTACGATAAAGTTAAAGTTCGCTTAAAGTTTTTTGCACGTTTTTTACCCCATCGTCCAAGGTAGAAATTTGATTACAAACTTGGTGTTATTGGTAGTGCTAAAAATAGTAGCACTTTTTTGCAAAACCATTAATGTTAACCGTAGCCGCCAGTGTCTTGAGTTCAACTATCCACGTGCAAGGAGTAGCAAGAAGAAAGTGATTTCGAGCAATTATATTGACCTGCAAGAAATGAAGGGCAAAAGAAAATATTCCCCGCCACTATAGTTCATACTGTTACACTTCCTTGCATTCTCTTGCACCTCGCTTTTCTTGCGTGGCTTGGATAACCACTTGCAAGAAATAACTGCAAGAAGTTGGTTTTTGCAGCTATTTGACCTGCATGCAAGAATTTCACGGCGCGAGAAACTAGGCCCGCCGCAATATTCATACGGTGGGTGGCGAGAGGGCGCATGTTTCTTGCACGAATTTGCAAGAACTTGCAAGAATTTTAAAACTTTCGTAAGAAATTTATAAAACCTGTAAGAAACAAGACAGACAGATTTTTATATTTATGATCATGTAGTTGACGTATTTATTTCCGTCCAACAACAATTTTTGCACGAACAGCGACTCTATGTATGCATTGTAATTTTCCCTAAAAATCAGGTTGCTGACGTAATGTTGGAATTGGACTATTCATTGGAAGGGGTCGTATTCTTCAACGAGGACAATAAGCTCATCGTACGAAGCCGAAAAGGCAAGGATGCCGATTGCGACTTTGTTTCCAGCCCGCTGCGAGAATCACTCGCGGACAAGTGCGCAATTTATATAGATGATGAACATACGAGAGGAACAGACTTTAAGTTTCCGGTTGGTGCGGTTGGTTGCGTCACATTGGGTACGTTACGGACTAAATTACAAATTAAAAAAAAATGGGCGTACTCACGTCAACGTCTTAAGCATTTCGCTTCGCTACCTAATTCGCGAAAAACATACCGGTTTTAAGTAGTAAATTTTCGCATGAATCGTAGTACGGAGTTTTTGCAAAATTTGTGGGATTTACTTACAAAAGTTGTCAATCGTAACTTTCTAACGAATTTTAAGGATTTTCAAAAACTTCAAACTCGAATGAACAACCTTAAACTTTCATAGGTCTTAATAACGACAGTATTTTACTACATTTTCGAACTCTGAGGGTTGAGAGACTACGCATACTTTATTTTTTGAACGCAGCGCTTTAAAAATTATAGGTTTTCAAACATCTCAATAATTACACAAAATTTCTATATTTCTCGAAAATGTAAAAATATTAGTATTCTTATTTCTGTTTACAAGAGAGTTGAGTCGGTTTTATAAATTTTTCTTTTGATCAATCCGAACCGAATCCGAATTTTTCGGTTGAAAAAATATCACCTGGAACTGAATTATTCGGATTCGGGTTGGATGGATATTTTACCCGAATATAGGATAACCGACTCAACTCGTGCGGACAACTAAAAATTAGTTCTGTCGAAATCGTATAATCTTACCACGTGGCAAAAATATTAACTCTAAATTTTCGTAGGTGGCCGACTCCCTCGCGACAAATTGGTTCAAGCCTGCATGAGAATGCGAATGCTCCAAAGTGGGGAACACAAAGTATCCTTCATCGCGACAAAAGACGTCGACAACCAAATAAAAAGTCTCCTCGCTACAAATCCAGACTGTGACCCGACCCGCTCCATCACCGCATCCGACGTGATGACCTGGGTCATTAAAAATAGCGAAGAGTACGAAAAAGAAGGTCTCATCTTCTATTCCAACAATGCCCTCAATTTCGCCAAAAAACGCGCCGGACTACTTAATCTTCAAAGTTACGAAGATTTCTCCCGTTTCGGGAGGGAGATCACCGACCAGGAAAAAGGCGGGGAACGTAATGAAGAATTCGCCAGCGAAGAAATATTCGCCAAAATAATTTCGCACTGTTTCGAATCTGCACGGTGGCCTCTAGTTGAAAATAGTTTGGCCTGCGATAAAATAACCGCGCTATTTGAAGAGGTAAAGGGGCACATTGTGACCCTTGTTACGGACAAGATTCCAAACCGGACTTGCTTCTCGACCAATCTGGAAGAGCAGCAGGAGCGGGAAATTGAATTGGAGAGAGAGGTCCAGGTTCAAATTGCCCGCCCAGTCGTGCAACACCCCTGGCCACACGGGTTGGATAGAAACGTTCGTAATTTTGTGGTCGAGAAGCATTTCGTCGATTCAGGTGAGGGAATTGTAGAATTGCAAGTTCCGTCGATTTTTGCGACTCGTGATTTCATCAGAGTTGTGCAACATGGGGAGATTTTGAGACCGGTTAATTGGGTTGTTAGTCGATCTGAAGGCGGGATTTTAATTCTAAGTCCGTACGAAGTTAATGAGTTGCTCCCGTATTTTTGGAGGGGCGAGGTAAACTCGAACTTGGACATGTTTTCCGCAAGGGTGAAAAATTTGGGGGATATTTTGATAAATGTGTCCAGTTTGCAATTGGGGCAAAGATTGGGGGGTAAAATTGAAGGGGACACGTTAAGTCGGTTGCATCTTTATGGGGGAAGTTTGTACTTTGAGGATAATGAGGCAGCTTGGGTGAAAAAATTGATTAAAGAATTAAACGGAAAGTTTAATATAGTAAAAAATGTGGAGAAAAGGCTTCAATATTTTCCGGAGAATTGTGATCTTCGTAAATTTACTAATTGTTGAGGTTTGAAAATTGTGATGCGTCGGACTTATGTAAGTATTCGAAAAGGTGATTTCATAAAATGTGTCTGTACATAATATGTTTTAATTTGCTTAATTATCATAATTTTTAATATATAAATATGTTCATTTATAATTTATTTCGTCCAGTCTAAAACAACAAAGTGTTAAATCTAAATTTGTATCTGATTTTAATTTAATGAATTTTATGAAGAGCATAAATTCTATTCAAAATTGTATGGAATTTTAGGTTATTTTGTTAGCTATAGTTAAACTTAGCTTAAACCTTTAAATAATTTTGCAAAATTAAGTGAATCAGGTATTTGAGTTGGATGTTAGCAATTACAGGTAAATTTGGTATAATTGCAAATTTGGCATAATTATAAATAACTTTTACATAACTATAAATAAAAGCAATTGGAAAATCCAAAGTTATGTATTTACTTTACCCACCTTTACTTACAACCTCTTCTTTTTTAAGTCTTTGACACAGGCTAACATGAAAAAAATGGAAGCATTAGAAATGTTAAATTTTTATGAAACCATTCTATTTCAAACAATTACTTGGTTTCGTCTTTCAATTTTGCAGTTTTGTGCAATGTTCCAGTTCGGGAGACTATTTTTTTCTAATCTGTGTTTGCTAAACTTAACAGTTTATGAAAAACCTCGTATATTACCTTTATACATTCTTCAAAAACTTGGGTTGCAATATAGGTGTGAATTGTAAGTGTAAGAGAAGAAGTGAAGTCTACATGAATGAAACCAAGGAGCCTTAGACTGAAAATAATATTGTATATTAATAAAATAAAGGATTGTAGTTAAAAATAACATCTGGGTTGCATTCAGAAAGTACTGTGAAAGTCTATCTTACACTAGTAAGAAGCGAAAAATCGCGGTCAGTTTCGACCTGAAAAATTTGGGTTCTCCCCTTATTTTAAAGGAAGCCAAAGAAGCGGCGAGCCACTGTTAATGGCTAGTAGGCACTCAGCCTCTTTAATAAGAAAAGGGAACCAAATTTAAGCCGCTAACTTAAAATTTTAACGGTTAAACTCCGTTATTTTCTTTTTTCTATTTTAGTTTAATTAAAAACAAAACATTTTCAATGTTTAAATAAATAAATATATTTTTATGGAATACATTTTCAAGACTCAGTCTTCCCCTACAACTTCAACGTAGTGCTCTTTTATATAAGCTATAAAAATATAAACTAAGCTAAAAATAAAACCAATACACCCATAAAGAAACTAAATATGAAGAATTTCATTCTTACGAAATTTAATACATCTGCCTTGGAAGAAATAAACTTAGATTTGTCAATAAATCCTTGCCCCCCTAAAAATTCCACTCAACCTTGGTCCACAAGATTTAAAATTTTTACGCCGTACTTAATAATACGAGTCAGAGCAAAAGTAGAAATAAAAGGAAGAAGTCACATAGAACCTAAAAAATAGTCTAAGCCTGAGGTAGGGCTAATTTTCTTTATGACCTTAAAGTCTACTAAGAAAAAATAAATAAAGAAAAAACTAAAAATTATAGTAACGACCAATAATTTAAGCCACAGGGGTAGAAAAATAAAATTCATAGGAAATAGATAAACTCTAAGCCACCCGCCAGCCAAAACTGACATAAAAATTAAAAATGTTATCGGAATTAGTATGTTAATTCTCTCAGCTAAACTTAAAAGATACCGGTTACCCATATTATTAAAGAAAGAAAAATACAAAAGGCGTACAGAGTACGTTAATGTAAACAATGTAGATAAAACTATTAAGCATCCCATAATTAAATTTATTTTCCCTTGAAAAAAAAATTCAATAATTATATCCCTAGAAAAAAATCCTGATAAAAACGGAAACCCACAAAGAGCTATTGAAGAAATAATGAAATACAGAGATGTAACTGGGCAAGAAATCATTAGCCCCCCTATCGCTCGGATATCCTGAGTGTCCCCTATAGAATGAATAAACACCCCAGCACATAGAAATAATAGGGATTTAAATATGGCATGAGTTAAAAGATGGAAAAAGGCATACTCGTAGAAGCCCAACCCCAAAGATGTTATTATTAACCCGAGCTGACTTAGTGTTGATAAGGCAATAATTTTTTTTAAATCTATCTCAAAATTAGCCCCTAAACCTGATATAAATATAGTCAACATACCAATAAATAATAAAAAATTATTAATACCTAAAGTGTAATTAAACCGAATTAATAGATACACCCCAGCTGTGACTAAAGTAGATGAATGCACAAGAGCCGAAACTGGGGTGGGGGCTGCTATAGCCGCAGGTAGCCAGGCAGAAAAGGGTATTTGAGCTCTTTTTGTTATAGCTGCTAAAATTACTAGGATAACTATAAAAGAAACTACTTCGTACGAATAGACAAACTGCGAATAAAAAAAATTCCATCTACCAAAATTCAGTAGTCATGAAATGCATAAAAGAATAGCTACGTCACCCACACGGTTAGAGAGAACTGTAATTATACCCGCATTTGCTCTTTTTACATTTTGGTAATAAATTACTAAACAATACGACACAAGACCGAGTCCGTCCCACCCCAATAAGATTCTAATTATGTTAGGGCTTAAAATTATAAAGACTATACTCAAGACAAAGAAATATACTAAAAAAATAAACCGAGTTAAAAACTTGTCCCCCTCTATATATATGATTCTATAGAAAAGTACCATAGAAGAAATAAATATTACGAGCCCTGTGAATCTCAAACTTATTCAATTCTTCGTGATGCACCAAGCAACAAGAAAAACGAGCACGCAGAGAAAGTTGGAGAAAGTTATGTAATCCAGTCCAGGCCGTAAATAAATCTGCTTTTCGGCTCGATCTGAATAAATTATGCATACCGCTCACGCCCCGACTTTTCACCCTCCATGCAACATAAACCATCTTCTGTCATGGGGATACATATGTTGCTTCGCGTAAATTGTACTGCATTCTCCTCGCAATTTTCTTCATAAAACTACATATGTATCTCTTTTCTTCTCCCCAATCTGCGATTAGAAGGAAAAATGTCTTTTCCTTCTAAATTCTGTCTATAAATCTTTGTGAATCAGTGTGTTGGGTGCAAGTAAGTAAATTTAGTAAATTTGCCACTGAAAATTCCAAATTATTGGGAAAATAACTTATTTTCTGTAATTACAATGTTTCAAATCTGGTATAGTCACCCAGGTATTTATTTCTCGGTATTAAAGTTGCTACCGCTTGGTGATAAAATTATACAAATCCTTAAGAATTTCCCACACATACGATAAAACTTTAATACCTAGCTACACTCAAAACAAAACGGTGTCAATATATGACTTAACCGCCTTGGTTATAATTGTGATTCCGAGTAGTAATGAATTTTTACCGTCCGGTCATAACATTATACTACCGGTATCAAAATCATCATAACTCGGATTCAACATTTTAACCAAGGCGGTTAAGTCATATATTGACACCGGCGGTGTTGATTCGACAAATTTTTATTTTGAGTGTAGTACTACACGGTGTTACTTTTCAATACTGCTTTGTTAGAGTCATATATATGAATACCGCTTGATACTATTTTAATACTGAATTTCTATAATATTAAATAAAATTGCAACGGATTAAAACTCGTAATTGAAATTTGCAATTGCTACATTCTGCTACATGTTGTTGCAATTATTTGAAACATAAGCACAGTCAAGTTAAAATGTTAAAATGTTAAATGAAATATGTTAAATATGATCGGTCTTCATTAATTTGGTTAATTTCCGTAATTAGTTTGGTTATTAATTTAATTAATTGTTAAGTGTACAGTTTGTACTGGAAATACAAAATCGTGTGCATGAAAGCTCTAAAAATTGAGTTTGTAGCAAAATAGTTAGAGCATGTACTCATTATGAGGCTCAAACTTGTAGGTAAAAATTTGCAACCGAATGGACAAAAATTTCTGCGGATTTCGCAAACAGACAAACAAAAACATAATCAAATTAATTATAACAAGCTACAATTTTCAAAAATATTCAATCATAATTTGTCGATCTTACTGAAGTCCACATGCAAAAACAGATTTTGCGCAATTTGATAATGTAATCGCTCATTTTTCTTCGGAATGAATTGAGGTATACACATTGCATGATCATTCTGAAGGATCTATTACTAAAATAAGACAACTCAAATACTAGCAAATTTTATAATTGACGTGTAAGTATCTCAGAAATTTATTTACAACAAATTCCCCAATTGCAGATATTTATGTTGCAAACGTTCCGAATTAGTAAGATTGAGGGTCCGATGTAACACCTTCTTGTGACTTCGTAATTATGCATGTATAAAATACTTACTGGTATTTTTTAAATGTGCCACAATTGTGAATCAGAAATAATCAAAATATATTTCCATGCTTGTTTAAGCAACTATCATTTCTTGGAGGTCAAAATAGCTGCAAGAAATCCATTTCTGAATTGCAAGTAGTTACTTGAACACTGCATACACCTAAAATTTTGCGTTTTCCATGATTTTGCAGTCTTTCAGCGTTCATAATTTTCTTAAAATGGCTGCACAATTCACGCATGCAGGTTTTTTTGCAGCAGTTCACTCACACGTTTCAAACCCAGGAAACCATGTAAATTTTGTAATTATGTTACGTTATGCGCACTCGCCTTGGCTGAGGTGGGTCTCTTAAGCATGAAAGAAAGTTGCACGTGATGGAAGCAGCAAGTGGCTCAAGATGCGGAGAATGTTGGCCGAAACAAACCGGAAATAAATCTGCCTCGCTGTCTGCCAGATCTTAATAAATTATGCTGCCCGCTCTCCGCCCTCCACTTTTCACACTGAAAAATGTTCGTACATACATAAACCATCTTTCTGCACGCAAAATTGATATTTAGTAATTTGATAATTGCAAACGAAAATTACGATCAAAACTTAAACATAACTTTTGGGTTTTGTTTAAATCCTTAAGCAGATTAGAATGTTCACTCCAAGATTTTACGAGCCGAAAATTCGAAAATTGTCCCAAAGTTTGATTTTTTACATTTGTAAATTTGTTGGACAAGAAAACTTTTCATTTGTTCTTGCAGAAAAAATTAAATCTTTTATTAGAATGTCCTTATTTGAATATTAGTTAATTTTATAATCGACGTAGACGTGTATCGTAACCCAGCAAACCTGACAAGGTTTTTTGTTACGTTACGTACACTCGCCTTCTTGGCTGAGGTGTGAATATCGTACCCGTGAGAGAAAGCTGCACGTCATGCAAGCAGCAAGTGGCTCAACATGCGGAGGAACTTGGCTAAACCAAACCGGAAATAAATCTGCTTAACTGTATGCCAGATCTTCTTAAACTATGCGGCCCTCCACTTTTCACCCTGCGACATACATAAACCAGATTTCTGCATGCATAAATAGGTTCACGTTTATATGGGTGTAGATTTACATAAGTGTGGATTTGATTGATTGATTGATAAATTTATTCCACCACTCTTTTAGGCCTACATAAGTGTGGGAACGGTTTTTTAATCTTACAATTTATATCGGTATTTGTCTTGCAACGAAATCTGTATTTATATGCCTTATGCCAGTTGGCGAACCTTTGCCCATTTTCGCTGTTTCGGGGAAATTTACGAGCATTTTTTGGGAAGCTTTTCTACTAACAATGGAACCTTTTTTCAAGCTACACGAGATAAGCTTAGTGACTTATGCTAAAAAATCAAGCTAAAAATTAGAAATGACGTGGTACTTATCTTTCCGTTGAATGGGCACTTGGAGGTCAAATATTTGAGGGCAAAGTTCACAGGAGCGGCCTGTTTTTGTCTCAAGCGGGCGAGCGGAGGAGTGAAAATTTTCCCTTCGAGGTCACTCCTCTGCTTTCACTCTCGTGTTCGCACTTTCATTCAATGCATATTATTTTCGATAAAATTTCACAATCTCGTCAATTGAATACATTAACATAATTTTATATTTACTTTTTAAATCGATCCTTCTATACACCGATCCGTAATAAAAAAGCGACGATTGGTTCAATAAATTATAAGTGCGTCGCTAGAGCATTCACCCAAATAATACAATCTAGTTTCGAGGATGATGAATTGGACCCAGATGAAGAACATTGCTTAATTGCCGAAGTTTTACTAGAAAAGCTGCACGAGATAACCTACAATTACATACTTATTGAAGAAAATGAAAACATAGGTGGTAAATGAATAGTTATTAGCCCTTATATTAATTATTACGAATTTGCTCTTATTTTTATTAGGTGGTATAGTTCATGATGTAAATTTTA